GATTTCTTCTTGGGTACTCCTATACCTAAAGGAATGGCTAGTGCTCTATTAGTGCTTATTCCCAAAAGCGAAAGACCATCTACCTTTAGTGATTTTAGACCCGTTTGTTTATCTAATTTCATTTGTAAGGTCTGTACAAAGGTACTGGTGTCCAGGATGAAGATAATTTTGCCTAATATTATATCTAAAGAACAAGCTGGCTTTATGGAAGGCAGAGACTCAGATCTTGATTGCCCAGGAGATGGTTCATCACATTGACAAGAAGATCAGGAGGAATAATTTAATGGTGAAACTGGACATGGCTAAAGCTTTTGACAGGGTCTCTTGGAATTTTCTCTCCAGCATTCTACTTAAATTTGGATTCTCTAATCATTTTGTTCATCTTATTATGAACAATTTGAAAGCAACTCATCTTTCTGTTCTAATTAATGGTAATCCATATGGTTTTTTTAAGCCATCTAGGGGGGTTAAGCAGGGGGATCCTCTCTCCCCATTTTTATTTATCTTAGCCTCTGAGGCCTTCTCAAGAGGTCTAATTAGCCTTATGGAGAAAGGAAAGGTTAAGCCCTATTGGACTGGGGGTCAGCACCTTAATATTTCACACTTGGGATTTGTGGACGATTTACTGATTTTCATGAATGGGGATGCAAGATCCTTGCTGAATTTCAAAAAGTTTCTTAATACCTATCAGTAGGCTTCAGGACAGATGGTTAATCTGGAAAAATGTTCTATCATTTGTGGGAAAATTGCTCTAGCCAGGAAAACCAAGATTAAAGATCTTCTGGGTATGAAAATGGCAGCTCTTCCTATCAAATATCTGGGGGTAAATCTGCACAAAGGAATTAACAGGTTTGAGTATTGTGGACATCTTATAAAGCAATTTGAGAATAAACTTTCCCCTTGGAAGCAAAAAATTCTTTCTCAAGGTGGGAGGCTTATTCTCATTAAGCATGTTTTAAACTCTATTCCACTTCATATTCTGGCTGCTGATACTTTGCCTAAGAAAGTTATAAAGGTGCTTAATAATAAAATGGCTTCTTTCTTTTGGGGTTCCTCCCAGGAAAGAAAGAAATATCATTGGATTAAGTGGTGTAAGCTGTGTTTTCCTACTGATGAAGGGGGTTTAGGGATTAGAGCTTTGTCTGATATTGAAAAGGCATTTTCCCTTAAGTTGTGGTGGAAATGGAAGACTACGGATTCCCTTTGGGCTCTTTTCATGAAATCAAAATATGAAAGGGGAGGAAGCATGTTACCTAAAATAACTGATTCTCCAATCTGGAAGAGGATCTGTTTAGTTGACAATCAAGCTATTGAGCTGTGCACTGAGGAACCTTCCAGGAAGTTGATCTGGAATGAGGAGAATGATGGTCAGTTTTCCTTTAAATCTGCATTTGAAGAGGTTAGAGAGCTATCTTTTAGCTCTTATGATTATCATCACATGTGGGATACTAAACAGGAATTAAAGATTAAACTTCTTCAATGGAAAATCTCAAAAAATATTATTCCTACTGCTGACAACCTAGGCAGATTCCATCTTACTCTCAATCCATCTATTTGCTCTTTCTGTAGAAGGAATTGTGAGACAATGAATCACATTTTCTTTCAATGTCCTATAGTTAGAAAGGTCTGGAGTTATTTTCTGAGTATTTTTGGCATTTTTCAAAGGTATGATATGGACTATAGTAGATTCCACTGTTGGAGGTTGAGTAAATCTGATTACACCTTGGCTGATGTTATGCGTAGAAATATGCCAGGAATAGTGTGTTGGATAATCTGGAAGGCTTATTCGAACAACATTTGGGGGTCAGGGGGCATTGTTAACAGTTCTGACCAAATTATTCTTCAGATAAAAGTCTATACTCAGAATTGGGTTGCCAGTTTACATACTGATAAGTTGAAAGGTTTAGGAAACCTGCTCGTGGAGGAAAATTTAATTCCGAGAGATTCACTCTTAAGGGTTACAAAATACAGATTGTCAGATGGCAAAAAACTCGAAAGAAATGGAAAATTAATACAGATGCAAGCTACTTATCTGGTAAAGCTTCCGGTGGAGCTATCATCCGCGATGGGAGTGGTCACTTCGTTTCGGCTCTTAGCTTTCCGCTGCAAGCTCACTCGCCGGTGGATGCTGAACTCAAGACAATCTTTTTCGTGTTAAAGTGGGTTGAGGAGAATGGTTTTGATGATCTGCAGGTTGAAACCGATTCCATGGATGCTCTTAGGTATATCGATGGTCACGAGGGAAGGAGATGGGAGAGACAAATTCAGGAAGTCACAGACCTACGATTTAGGAAACAAATCGGCTTCAGTCACGCTAAGAGAGAAGCAAATCGGGCAGCCCACTATCTGACCCAGGAAAAAGTGGATCAGTTTAAAATTTATAAGGAGTTGGATCAACTGCCTATTTGTGTTAAAAGGGCCTTTTGGGCTGATTTCTATGGGATTCCTTCCTTTAGGGATTAATTTGTGTATTGTTGTTGCTTTTTATCTGTTTTATTCGGGAGGTTTCGGTTTGGTCCCCCCCTCTTGTACGCAACTCAATTTAATAAAACTATGGCAAATGTCCCCCGGCATTTGCCCCACTGATTTTGGTGGTTGACCTTCTGGGGTAATATATATATATATATATATATAGTCTTTATCTTAATTTGCAACTTCATTTCTCTATATCTATGACTAAAGTTAAAGTACTTATATCGCTTAGAAAATCAAAATTAAAAACTAAAGTAATGTTTAGCGAATCTAGACGGCCTAGGCGGCTGATAAGGCACTCTTGGCGGGCAACTAGGCGCCATAGGCAGCCGACTAATTCACCTAGACGGTAAACCAATTAGTCGGAGCGCCTAGACGAAAATCGGGGCGCCCGACCACCGCCTAGCGCCTAGGCGGGGACTAGTCGGACGCCTAGAACGATTTTTAGAACATAGGCTCTATTAAAGAAGTATATTTAGAATATTTTGGTCCTAAAATCAGGATATACTTCCCCTTTCTTAAATAAGTGCAAAATGTTGAATTTTACACTATTCAAATTTTTTGGTTTAAACACGCTTTATTTATTCATGCATTAATAAATTATTATTTTTGTTTTTAAATTTGTAACATTGTAAGTTTTCAAAATCTATATTTTATTAATAGAGAATTATACTCGCTCCGTCCCTAAATTAATTTTCAAATTTTCTTTTTTACACATTCGTATACGTTTGTCTCTCTTCAGTGCAACTCTGCACCACACAATTTTCTTTTTCTTCATTCCCGTGCAAAACCAACTTTGGAAGATTATTCATGGGAGAATGAAGTATATATTACTCCGTAATAAAAAAAATAGGTTTTGAAAATTTCAAATAAGACAAATTTAAGAATATTTTTATAAGAAAAATAATTTATTCAAACATCAATAAATAAATCATATTAATGTGAATAGTTTAAAATTCAACATGTTGCATTTTTTAGGAAAGGAGAAAGTATTTTCTAATTTTAGGACCAAAATATTCTAGATTTACCTTTCCCGCTGAAATTAAGAGCCCTTTTGGTGATAGCAAAATTGGCCGAATCGACTGATTGTGGCGAAATTTATGAAATTCTGACTAAAGGGTTGGACTGGTTGACTCTGCTAATTTATTAAAAAATTATATTTAAAATATAATTTATTAATAAAATAAAAAATATATGTAAAAATGTCTAAAATGGTCCTCTACAGTAACTTTAGTCAATACAGACAGAAAAATAACTCCAACCTTATTTTTTCCTATTATTACGATATTTAGCGCGCAAAATCAAAAATTACGTTTTAGATGAAAAAGTTGGCTGGTAAGCCTGATGAGCCGAAAAACAGGGATACCAACCGGACACTAAAAGAAAAATATAAAAAATAGTCATATTTAATTACTACTACCTCTGTCCCGTTGGAATGTTCCCGTTCGGTTTACGATGTTTGACTGACGATAAAGCAACTCGATCTCTGTTCACACTCCCCTTATTTTTAGTAAATAAAATTTACATATTCAGAAACTATATTAAAACTGCTACAAAGCCTGATCAAGAAAAGTTCAATTTGATAAAAAATTGATATATAAAGTAAAAGATTAGGAGTGACCTAAGTTGACCTAAGACGGAGGGAGTATTATTATACTCCGTATACTATTATAGGGTCATAGTAAGAACAAATTCAATTGTTGCCCATTCCGTTAATTAGCTACCGTAAGAAGCAGGGGTGGTTCGGTACGGTATACCGAATATTTTAGCTCATACCTTTACCACCGTAAATTTTCGGTATGCAAAAATACATACCGTTACCATACCAAAATTTCGGTATACCTTGTTTCAATATACCAAAATTTCGGTACGGTAAGGTACGGTATCGGTAAATTATCATGATTTAACATAACAAATAATTATATGTCAAATAAAATATAGAAAATATGTGTTAATAATGATAAACTAAAATCATTAATGAAATTAATTGTAAATTACCAATGATAACCTATCGGTGTTCTATTCAACTTTGAACAAAAAATATTATAAAAATATTTAGATACTTCAACACATAATATGTGAAGATGACATCACATTCTGCTAAAATAATTTAAACAACATAAATATAATTAAAAAAACACTGCTTGCCAACAAAAAGTATAAATAATTCAAGAAACATGGATATAAAGTCATTTATCCTTGAATTAATGTTGTGTTTCTAAATATTTTTATAATTTTAAAGAAATTATTGGCTTAGAATTACGGTATGACGGTATACCGGTATACCGTTTATTTTGAAAATATATACTGATACCATACCGAAGTAATTCGGCACGGTATCATACCGTACTGAAAGTGTCGGTATACCAACCATTTCGGTAAATTCGGTATTTTTCGATATGGTAAGTCCGGTATACTGAAATTTCGGTATTTTCCCCACCCCTAGTAAGAAGGGGGTGATTGCCCTACCTTCAATGATTTTAAAGTTTTTTTCCCCAAAAAATGTTGAAGGGCATAGATGCCCATTGGTGACAATTTCAAGGGGTGGTTTGCCCCTTTCCCCATTATTTTTAGTTACCAATGTCAACCCTTTGATGCTGAGGATCGTACTCAGAAAGTGGCAAAGATGGTGATGGTTCAAAGCGTACACCGCGGAGCACTGAATATATACTGCTGCAAGTCACCCACTATATAAACTGGCGTTCGTCGCTCAAAATCCTCCCGCTTTTCTCTTTGAAGCACAGTGCGCCTCGTCCTGCTCCATTGCTCTCTACGGCGCCCGCTGAGGCGAGTTCAGCACAGGTAGCTGTATACATCTATGGCATGCTCGTTCATACAACTTACAGTGTTTACTTTATGTGGTTTGGACGGAGATTTGATCGCTGATTCGTTACAATTTTATATATGCACTTTTCATTTCTCTATTTTGATTTGTTTTGCCTCTTCCTTCGTAGATGATCTTTGGTTGGGATTGTCTGGATCTACGAGTTTTATGTTTTGATGTGTTTTTATTTTATTCGTATCAGTTATGTCATGTTCATATGCTCTAGTTGATCAAGCTATCTTTGAATCGGACCTCGTTAGTTTAGATCTATCAGTGAGTTCCTCAATTGAGGTGTTGTAGACTTGTCGTTTGTGCGTCAATGAATGTGGATCTTCAGATCTCATTTGGTTGAAGATGCCTTAGCTTATACTCCCTCCGTCCCTAAAACAACCTCCCGGTTTGACTTTCACACACTTTTAGAAAATAAATTTGATTTTACTGTAGAGTCCACTATTTTGCACTGTTTAAACACTGTTTAAACACTATTTGGCACTGTTTATCACTTTTTGATGTAGATAATTTGCCAAATAAGGAAAGTATTTAAGTGTGAAGTTAAGTTTGGGACATCCATTTAAGGAAAGTGGGAAGTTGTTTTTGGGACGGAGGGAGTATATACATGTAAATTATGATTTCCTAAGTATATGTGGGGTGTAAATTGTATGATAAAATGATTATGGTTGGAGTGTTTGGTAATGATTCTTATGTATAGTAATGGGATAACTTACTGCTGCATTTTTTGGGTAAAAATTACTGGAAGGGAAAAGTATATTGTGCTGGATAGCCGGGTAGGTGGTGCAAAATTGAAATAATGTAATTTACATATCAAATTTTAATATTGAAATTATGTAGTAACAATAACCATTTTTTTTCTTATCAAAGTTATATTCTTTAAGTTGAATACTTGAAATGTTTGAACAAGTAGACATTAGAGATAGATATTCACATGTATATTAATTAGTTAGTGGCTCTGTCAAGATGAATATTAATTACTTTGTTGTATTAATCTATTATACCAAAGAACTCATTTAAACAGATCTACTCTATTGCACACTGCCAATCTGAGTTTCTCATGATTAAATCAACAGCTGCCACTCTGGTTTTGTCTGTGGAGGTTTGATGTTTTTATGTCAATAATTTACGGATTTGTTGCTTGAATGCACTTAAACCCAGAACTTGCAGGAGTTTTCTCTTTTTTGTGTGGTTTGAGCTTTCAGTGTTTAACAAAAACATGGGGGAGGGGTTAGTGTACGTATCATGTCAGGACATACACATAAACACAGCTTTTCATTTGTCCACTGCTTTGAGTTAAAATTAAGATAAAGATGAGTTCATGTAATGTTGAGTTGTTGAAAAATGTGTTTATATCCATAACTTTGAAAGGAGTTGAAAATAACAAAAAAGCTTCACCTGAACCATCTGAAGTGTTTATTAGTTTTACACTTTCACTTTTCAGGAGATAGTTAAAGAGTACAATGGCAGACATGTCTTATTACCCCACTGTTGTTCAGAAGGTAGCCAGCCAACTTCAACTGAGCTCAAGTCATTTCCAAGATGCCCAAGCTCGCTATGGTGCATTACCCAGGCCTACTTTGTACTCAATGCATGGAAACTACAACAATGCATGTATGAAACAGTGCCAAACTGGCATGGATCTTTCATCAATTAGTGCAAATGCTTTGCCAGTGTTTGTGCAAGCTCCTGCGGAGAAAGGATTTGCTAGTTTTGCAATTGACTTTCTCATGGGTGGTGTTTCTGCTGCTGTCTCCAAGACTGCAGCTGCCCCTATTGAACGTGTTAAGTTATTGATTCAAAACCAGGATGAAATGATTAAGTCTGGTAGGCTCGCTGAACCTTACAAGGGTATTGGTGACTGCTTCAGCCGAACCATCAAGGATGAAGGATTTGTTGCACTGTGGAGAGGAAACACTGCCAATGTTATCCGTTACTTTCCAACACAGGTCATCTATATTCTTCTTTTTGTATTACTCAAGCTATGTTTGGATTCCGTAAAGTTATTTTCTTATGTTTCCTATTACTTCGAATGAAAATGCAATGAAATGAGATATGATTTATGTTTCAAAATTTCTTACATATGATCAGATTTTGAGTGTATACATGATAGATATATATTTAAAAAATGAATTTGAACAACTAAAAGGCACAAATTTATTGAGTTTGAACACTTATTTTATTTTCCTCTACATTTTCTTTGCTTTAATATTTCTTCCATAATTTCCACCCTGTTTTCTTTGCGTGCCAGACAGAGTTTTGAAATCTCTAGCTAATATCCACTTTTTTTTCCTTTTCAATTCTCAGTGAAGTATTACAGTTATTGAATAACCATATGTGCTGCTGCTTTTGTAGGCTTTGAACTTCGCATTCAAGGATTACTTCAAGAGGCTCTTTAACTTCAAGAAGGACCGTGATGGCTACTGGAAGTGGTTTGCTGGAAATCTTGCTTCAGGTGGTGCTGCTGGGGCTTCATCATTACTTTTTGTGTACTCATTGGACTATGCCCGTACCCGTTTGGCTAATGATGCCAAGGCTGCAAAGAAGGGAGGTGAGAGGCAGTTCAATGGGTTGGTTGATGTCTACAAGAAGACACTTGCCACTGATGGTGTTGCTGGACTTTACCGTGGATTCAATATATCCTGCGTTGGAATTATTGTCTATCGTGGTCTGTACTTTGGGCTATATGACTCCATCAAGCCAGTTGTTTTGACAGGAAGCTTAGAGGTTTGTTCTTCCTTGTGTTCATTTACAGCCTGAAGGAAAAATGTTTTTTTAAAGAGAATGCATTTCAGCCACAAGCATATAAGCCAACAGATTATTATTATTGTGATTCAGCAGAATATGCTACTTTTGGCTACCTACCAAACGTAGTCTTGGTTTCCACTTTGTGTTACTTAATAGACTTACATTTATTTTAAGTTTCAACAAATATAGGTTTTTATTTTAGGTCCTTCCAGAATTTCTTTTGTTTTTTCATTCCCGTGTTTTATACCGTCTATGTGCTTTAGTATAGGAGTAAGGCTGTGTACATCTGACCCCCTTACCCTACTGTAGGTGGGAGCCTTTGTGGCGGCCGGTGGGGGGGGGGGGTAATGTGATTGTTGCCGTATTCTCGCAATTTATAGTATTTTCATTTTAGTACCTAGCAACCTCACTTTTTACAATAAAACAGACATGGCTAACATGATTTATGTCTTGTTTTTTCAAGTCATTTCAATTTTAAAAATACCAGATTTTATTTATGAATGGCCTATATTAGAAAGATGAATGGTTACTTTCACTTAGCCTTAATTCTACTAAAAGCCTTAAAAGTTAAAAAGTTAGACTTGAAAAGTTCAGAGATGAGTTATGCGAGTTGGGTCATTCCCCCCTCCCCCAAGTTGAGATCATTCAAGAGTTGCACATGAATGGACTAAACAAAAAATGACATATTTGCAGGGTTGAAAAACAAAAGAAAATTGCTAGGAATTAAACCAAAAGGTATTATATTTGCAGGGTGAGGGTCTAATGACTAAGATATCTAAGCCTGTAAACAAATGACACAATATCTCAAATGAACGATTTTCTTGTCTGAACATTTCAACTATTTATAATCTTACTTTTTCTTGCCATTTTTTGTTTGCAGGATAGTTTCTTTGCTAGCTTTGGTCTTGGTTGGCTCATTACAAACGGCGCTGGGCTTGCGTCTTACCCAATAGACACAGTTCGCAGAAGAATGATGATGACATCTGGAGAGGCAGTCAAGTATAAGAGTTCTCTTGATGCATTCTCTCAGATCCTAAAGAACGAGGGAGCCAAATCCCTGTTCAAGGGTGCCGGTGCTAACATTCTGCGTGCTGTTGCTGGTGCTGGTGTATTGGCCGGGTATGACAAGCTTCAGCTTATTGTGTTCGGAAAGAAGTATGGTTCCGGTGGGGCATAATAAGCTCCTACACATTGTTCTTACAATGTCCACTAGATGGTGATGATAAAAGTGAGTTTTACAATTCATTCAGGCTATACAATTTTAATTTATGTTTGTGTAATAATTTGAATTTTGGATGTGCTTGTGAGTTGCGAACCCAAACATCTGCACGCATCACCTCCTTTCTGTGTGAGGGTGATTTATTTTTGATGACTCAAGAAAACTTAAAAACTACATTTTTGTCGACTACGGTCTTAATTTGATTTCCAAATTTGTGAGGATTAATGTTTGGTTTGTGGTGATTTTCTTTCAACTCTTTCGGCATGAAACTTGCGAGGTGTATCTGTTGCTACTCCATTTGTCTCATTGGTCTGTCAATTACGGAGTATATTTTTTAAATTTTGTTGCATTGTTTTTAAAATAATGAATTTGTGGTTCACTTATTTTTCTTTCTTTTGCATATAAATGAACTCCACAATTTATCACCGACTCAGACTCTCAAAGTTGACAATGCCGAATTACTCTAACGAAACGGATTTAATATTATACCTGACTTTTACCAAAATAGCCATTAATATGGACGATTTCTGTCGATGTTTTATTTGTCATCAATCCTTGCACCTTCAAATTATGTGTAGAGTTTGCCGGCTTGCCAAGTTAGTGAAATTCCAAGGCCATATCAACTTAAAGATCAGGAGACGGTTTAAAAAGAAAGACTTTTTGTGACACCGCACCCGTGTGTACCTGAATGTACTATCTGAAAGTTTCATAATTGATGTTTTGAACTTGTTATTATTATTCGTGTGTAACACGTGTGTTATCTTATGTAACTCATGCTTTGACATTGTGTGAAACGAGTAGTGTTTGATGTAACTTGTGTTTGTTAACCTGTCGTTGGGATCCGTGTTTCGAGAGTGAGTTTCCAAATACTGATGTGGGCCATCTTGGTTAGTATAAGAGCCCGATATTATATGGAGAGAAATCACATTACGAAGACACAAATAATAAGACTCAATTTTCCTCCGTAAGGAATTATCGGTAAGGATTTTCCTTCCCGGCTGACTTGGACCGAAGGGGGTGCGTCCCACATAGGGATGGACTCGGGCCGGGCCAACCGGCCCGGAACCGGACCGGCCCGCTACTGTGCGGGCCCGGACCGGCCCGGTCAACCGGTTCGGGCCTCCAGGCCCGGTGGTATACCGGTCCGGGCCCGGGCCTCCAGTTTAGTGAACCGGCCCGGCCGGGCCGGGCCCGGTTCGGGCCGGAATTTAATTTTTTTTTTTTTTTGAAATTTTTTTAAGTTTTGGGTTGGATTAGGTATTTTGGGCCATTTGAGGTGGTTTGGGGTGGTTTGGGGTGGAGGGGGAGGGGTAGGGGGTTAAATAAGAGAAGAAGAAAAAAAAAAAAAATCATTCCGGGTGGCCCGGCCCGGCCCGGCCCGGAACCGGAACCGGAACCGCCCACCATCGGTTCGGGCTCGGGCCTCCTTTTTCTGAACCGAGGCCCGGCCGGGCCCAGGCCCGAACCGGGCCCGAACCGGGCCCGAACCGGAACCGGTCCACCCCTAGTCCCACACCTCCTTGGCACTTACGAGACAAAGAGAATATGGTATGTTGACTTTTGGGGCAGACCATGATGGAGTGGGCTTGTGTAGAGAATAAAATGATAAGGGTTGGACACCATTTGTACTTATTTAGTAAGACTTGGTGGAGAATCATCCACACCTCACTCAACCCACTCCACACAAAAGGAATAACCTTTTGGGAGGCCTAAGGGACAGCCTTAGGCTTCTAAGAGAAGAGAACCGATCAGAACAAAGAAAGAGAGAAAAGGGAGAGCTGTTCGGAGTTTCTTGCTACTGTACGTGGGTTTGATTGTTCAGCCCATATCTTGAGCTTCACTCGTTCAAATCAGGCGTGTGAGGCGTCCACAGAAAGATCTCAAAACGAGGATTCTGAAATGGTGTAGATCGCAACGATCGGAGTTGTGGAAGGCTTCCAAATCTGCGTTGGAAAGTACTAACCTGCAGTAGGGCTTCTTCTTCTCTAGAGGTGAGTTGAACCCAAAACCTTCCTCTTCTTTACATAGATCGTATGTAAGGTTTAGGAGGCTATTCTACCTTGTTCTTACGGTAGAATGTATTCTCGAAATGTTAGTCATGTGAGTTTAAAGGTTAGGCACTAACCTTAAATGAACCTTGAATGGTTAGGAAGTGAACTCGCCGGGGAACACCTCTTCGAGAGGGCTTTTTAGTTTCGTGGCAGGAGGGTGGAGCCAACTGCTAGGAGCAGGCTACTGCTCACCCATCCTTAAGCAAGGAGTCAGCTGCCAACTTTTTCTTGGCCGAGCCGTGATCGTTGGAGCGAGAAAGGAAGGCTAAAGCTCATTAAGGTGAGGACGACATCTAGTTGCTTACAACTTGTAGGTTATGCATGAGATTACCTAAATGCTTAAATCATGTTTTCATAAATAAAGATGCTTGAACATGTTATGCATGATAAGTAATGGACTTGATCATGAATTGAAACTATATTGATGAATATGGAGTAAATGAGGTATAAATGTGCTATTATGTAAAAATAGACATTTCTACTTATGTAAGCATGATATGTCTATGTAAACGAATACTTGAATGATGAAATTGAACACATGGGGAGGCTGCCACATATTATTAATATGTAGGGGCTCCCATATGTGAATAAATGTTTTTGTAAGAATAATCTTAATAGTAATGAAATACTAATTAAGGATTGTTCGAATTGTTGATAGAATCAAACCTAGGGTTTGCATAGTATTGTGATGCACTTGATGGACTTCAAGTGTCATTTGTGTCTTAGTGTGAACTAAGGTTAAGTTGGGGCGGTCCATAGGATGTCCCAAGATATTGTTATGTATGACAATTCTAGGCATAGTGAGTGCTTATGAATTGGGGTCTATGCCAATGTAAGGAGATGCACTTGAGCCCGAACTCTAGAATTGCATTGGGTAGACATAAGGTTTAGGTTCAGCCCATGTAAGGAGATGCACTTGAGCCCGAGCTCTAGAATTGCATGGGTGGACATGATGTCGGAGATTGATGATGTGATATAAGGTTTGGAACCTAGGGTCAAATCTATGCCAATGTAAGGAGATGCACTTGAGCCCGAGCTCTAGAATTGCATTGGGTAGATATAAAGTGGATGCATTAGGGTGGGACCCTATGTATTGTCGTGACTAGTGGTCACTGGGTTTGGGTTATGTTTTGTGATAAACATGGGCCTACGGGCCTACTACTTGACTTTATATAAAGTAAGTATATATTTTGAAAAGAGGTAACTTGGGGTTACGGCCTAGACTATATTATCACCCTATTTGAGGGTGAAATACGTGTTGTATATCTATTAGATGCCTGCCACACCAGTACTTTATAGCCGTATAAAGTACTGACCCCTTCGGGGGCGTCCACCATTATTTCAGGTTGAAGCTTGAGCTTGCTACCTGTGCCCGTTGCTCGGGTGATCATTTGGAGAGAAGACGTGGTTCGTGCTTTCTCCATTCTGTTTTGAATAATATTAAACATGCTCATGGATATTTTACTATAGAGCCTGCGTGCTCATGAATAGCCCTGTGTGGCCCTTTTGTTTTAAACAATGTTTTCCGCTGCGTTATGAATTACTTATTATGTTTTTTTTAACCCGGAAGGCAAACCACCAAAATCAGTGGGGCAAATGCCGGGAGTCAGATGCCGTTATTTTATTAATAAGAAAATCATACAAAAAAGAGGGGGACTAGACCAGAACCTCTCAACAGAGTCATTTCTCTGAAAAATACAGTACACAAAAAATGAAATCAGAAAAAATAAGATTCGGGGGGACCAAACCTAACCCGAACCCAATACAGCAAAAAGATTTTAACATATTCGAAGGGAAGGAACACCGAAGAGATCCATATAGTAAGCCCGCTTAACTAATGGCGGTAGAGAACCCGGGTTAAGAAAAATCTTATCTGGGCCAGAATGGGACTGTGCTAGAAAATGCGCAGCCCAATTTGCTTGTCTCGCAGTATGTCCAAACGTGATACCCACCTGATTTGCAATAACCAAACTTTCCTGAATTGAAGACCTCCATCGCCGCTCACACTTGCCTGCCAGATACTCCATAGTCGTAGCTGAGTCCGACTACAGCTTGAAGGGACCAAGACCATCTCGCACCGCACTTTTAAGAGCATAGATTATTGCCTGTACCTCGGCCTCAAGTGGGGATGAAGCTTCCAAATCGAAGCTAACAGCCCAGATTAGCTCGCCGTGTTGATTGCGAAGAATCGCTCCCCCTGCAGCAATACCAGATAAGTAACGAGCATCAGTGTTTAACTTCATACCTTCCTTAGGCTTGTTCCACTTAATCACTTGAATATTGAATCTCTGTTTGTGAAAATCTCTTCTAATTAAATGCTCTTCGTATAAAATGTTATCAATGGATTGAAACTTCCTCTCCTTGAGCGACTGGGTCCATTCCTGTGTGTAATGCTTAATTGAGATAATAGTCTGCTCAATCGATGGAATGTTGTTGCCTTTCCCCCAAATGTGATTTGAGTAAATTTTCCAAATGTGCCAGCTAATTATGCCTGAGATATTATGTCTAAAAACATCAATCAAGTCCTTTGAGCCTGCCTTTAGCCAGCAATTTCTGAAAACCTGGGAAATAGAAATGGCACATGCAGGTATGGGGATACCCAGCAGTCCCAAAAAATAACCCCAAATAGGTTTAATTTCTTTACAAAGAAATAAAACATGATCCAGTGAATCACTGTTATTCCTACACATAGGGCATATAGTAGGATTAATCACCGTATTAAATCTGTTCAGCTTATCAGGGAAGGGAAGAATTCCTTTTAGGATTCTCCACTGCAATAGTTTGATTTTGAGTTCCTGTCTAGGATTCCAGATGTGTTTGAAAGACAAAGTTGGTAGAGCATGGTTTCTAACTTCATTGTAGGCTGATTTTAGAGAAAACTGACCATATATTTCCTCATTCCAGATCAGAGTACCAGAAGGCAATTCAAAGCACAGGGTGGATGCATATTCATGGATGTAGCAAATTCTTCTCCATACTGGTGAATCCGTCACTTTAGGTATCATATCTCCTTCTCTTGCATACCTATTTCTTATGAAATCAGTCCAAATGGAGTCCCCTGTTTTCCATTTCCACCAGAGTTTTAGAGAAAATGCTTTTTCAATATCTGTCAATGACCTTATGCCCAGACCCCCTTCATCTATTGGAAGGCATAAGTTATCCCATTTAATCCAGTGATGCTTAGGCTTATCCCCTGAAGATCCCCAGAAAAAAGATGCCATCTTACTGTTTAGCACCTTGATGACTTTTTTTGGCAATGTATCAACTGCTAAGACGTGTAGTGGAATGGAAGTGAGAACATGTCTGATTAAGATGAGTCTTCCCCCCTGAGATAGATTTTTTTGCTTCCAAGTTGTGAGCTTCTTCTCAAATTGCTGAATGATTTGACTACAAAAATTGAACCTGTTGATTCCTTTATGCAGATTAACACCCAAGTATCTTACCGGAAGAGTAGCTTTTTGCATGCCCAGGAGCTCTTCCATGCGATTACTACGATAAAGGGAAGTTTTTCCTCAAAGAAATGAACTCTTTTCAAAATTGATTGTCTGCCCTGAAGAGTTCTGATAATCCTTTAGGAAGTTTTTGAAATTGAGAATTGATCTTGCCTCTCCATTAAGAAAAATTAGCAAACCGTCTGCAAAACCCAAGTGAGAGATAGGGTAACCATATGCCCCCATCCAGAAAGGCTTGACTCTACCTTGAGATATTAGAGAATTAAATCCCCTAGAAAATGCCTCAGCTGCAATTATAAAAAGGAAGGGAGACAGAGGATCCCCTTGTTTGACCCCCCTGCTTGGCTTAAAAAAACCATAGGGTGTACCATTAACCAAGACAGAGAGATGAGTAGCCTGCAGATTATTCATTATTAGTTTGACAAAGTTCT